AAAGGAAATTGTTACAGTGAGAGATCCAAATGGATACAGCCAGAATAGGGATCTGGTTTTATGAACTGGATTCTCAAGGTTCACCTCATTCTTCAAATTCTGAAATTCCTTTTACACTGGCCTTAGCCTCTGCTTTATATGATACTTTATCTCTACCTTAACAGAGGAAAAACTTGGATGTAAGACAATCAATCTCTCTTTTAGATTGCCATCTAAGTAACAACTCCCAGATTTGTATCTTCACCCCCATCTTCTCTTTGGGGATCCAGTTCATGTGACCAGCTCCCTATTCTAGCTGTACACTTTTGGATGTCTCACTATCACCATTTTGATGTGTTCCTACTTAAGATCTCTTCCACCCAAAATGCTTCTCTTTTATCTCAATAAATGGTACCACCATCCTACCCAGTTGCCCATACCAGAAACTTTGCTTTTTGAATGCTTTACCATTACTTCACATTATGAATAATTTTTCATTCATTCTGTTAGGCCCTTCATCAATCTTCAATCTGAAGACTTATATCATTTTTCAGCTATGGAAAAAAAATTCTCTATGGTTACTATTCTGTAGTTTCATGTTCTTTGTATTTGCTTTCTATATCTCAGGATATTAAAATTTCTAGTTTTACCTGCATTATTGTTTAACTTTTATTCATACTCATCAACTCTTGACTTGTGTGCCAAATTGAAGAAAACTCCTCAAGTAGATCTTCCAAACCACTGTTCATTTACTGGTTCTGTCTGTCATTTGTTCCATCCGATTTCACCTGATTTTAAAAAATCTTTGCCTGTTCTTAGAATAATAGCTTTCAACATCTTCTCCCTGGTAGTATTATGTTTCTTTGAATGTCTCTACCTTTCTTAACCTTACTTCAAGCTTTGTTGCCTTTATCTACTGAGTTCAGCTCATCTGTTCTTTGCATAGACATGTAAAAATTTTGACAGATGCATATCTTTTTTTTTTTTTTAATTACCTGCTTGCCAGTCAATTATTGTCATTTCTGCCTGCTGTGGCCTGTCTCAGGGATGCAAGGGAACGGGTGAGACATATGGACAAGAAATGTCAGTTCCTGTTTTCAACACAGGTTCCCCTTGTTTTCCCTGGGCATGGGCAGTTACCTGGGTGTGCATCTAGCTGGTCATTTCCTCAACACTTCTTTCCCAAGCTCACATTTCCTGCTTAGACCTGTAGGGACATGCCTCTGCTTTGGGCTGCTTCTCACTGAGAGTTGAGAGGATTAACTTGTCTGTCTGCTCCTCCTGCTTTTCTCATAGCAACCTCTTCAGTTACTATGGGGCCCTACCTGCTCCTCAGAATCCAGGCCCTGGGTTTTCCCTTCTCCAACATCTCCTAGCTTGTAGCATAGCCACAGGCGTTCCCATCTTAAGACACAGCTCTCTTCTGCATGTGAAGTCACCATTGCTTTTGACAGTCAAATCCAGCCTGCAAGAATTCTTTCTTTTTTCCATGCTTTTAAAAATCTTTTCTTTGCCAGGGATTTCAGGAGGGAGGAACAAACGGATAGATAACCTTGGTCCTTAATTTAACGTTATTCAATATTCATGATCCCTTGTACATAGAATGAGTTTCCCTTTGTAAATCTCTCTGGTTCTTTATACAATTTTGAGATATGATACCCTCTTTTTTTTTTTTTTCCAGCACAATGGGACCCAAAAGTTTTTACAGCTTACGATGTATTTCGTGTAAGTCTAATTACATCTGAGCTTATTGTACAGGAAGTAGAAACACAACGGAATGGAGTCAAGGCTATATTTGATCTGGAAGGTTGGCAATTTTCTCATGCGTTTCAAATTACCCCATCTGTAGCCAAGAAGATTGCTGCTGTACTTACTGTAAGTGACTATTTTAACTCTTAGGTATCATACTTCCAAATGTTAGCTCTAAGTTTTGTTAGAGTATTTATTAGAAGCTTAAATAAAATTTCAAAAATGATACGTATAATTCAATAATGCTAACAGGAAGTGAAATTTATTTATACCAAATATTAAAAAAACATGAAAATAAATGTTCAAAACCAGTAAACACAGAATTTATACATTTAGATAGTAATGTGGTAAAAATCTTGCCCTAGATTTAAAAACTGACTGAAAAATGTTTATAACAATGATACAATAAAAGGTCACATAAATCTTGGTGTAGGCATAAATTGATATGACTTTTTTTTAAAAGGTTTTAAAAATGGTCATTGTCTTTGACCCAGTAATTCTACTTCTAGGTAAAGAACAATCTTAAATATAGTAAGGGCTTTGTATACCATCATAATAGTTTATTGGGGCTGGAGATGCAGCTCAGTGGGAAAGTGCTTGCCTAGTATATGCGAGGCCCTGGGTTCAATAC